TGTTTTTTTTTTTTTTTGGTTTTTTTGAGACAGGGTCTCACTATGTATTTGAGACTAACCTGGAACGCCCTATGCAGCCCAGGCTGGTCTAGAACTCACAGCGATCCTCCTGCCTCAGTTTCCCCAGTGCTGGGATGACAGGAGTGCGCCACCACATCCAGCTTTTAGATTTTTTTTACAGAGGTTCACAGCAAAGAGTTTGCCCTGAGTCTCCAAAGGGACTTGGACTTGGACTTTTGAGAAATGTAGGGACTTCTACCTGGAACGCCCTATGCAGCCCAGGCTGGTCTAGAACTCACAGCGATCCTCCTGCCTCAGTTTCCCCAGTGCTGGGATGACAGGAGTGCGCCACCACATCCAGCTTTTAGATTTTTTTTACAGAGGTTCACAGCAAAGAGTTTGCCCTGAGTCTCCAAAGGGACTTGGACTTGGACTTTTGAGAAATGTAGGGACTTCTGAGACTGTGGGGAGGAATTGTGACGTTTCAGCCGTACACAGAACAGTCGTACCATGTTAGGCAGAACTGCGGCCTTGTGTTTACTTGGAGATTAAATATGGTTCAAGGAGAAGCTTGGGAGCCACCCAGGGGGTTAGGAAAGCACACTTCTGGGTACGTTTGGGTGGGTCATGGAGGCGTGGCTTTGGGGTCTCTATCTGGGTCCTGGCCCTTACCTGTCTGGTGCCCTTCCCCTGCTAATCCTCCTGGTTGCCTTGAATTAAGCAGTTCTGCCCCACTCTGTCTTTCTGCCATGCTGTCCCTGCCCTGGAACCAGGCAACCATGAGGACTGAACTCTCTGGAAGTATAAGCCAGGTAAACCTCTCTTGCTTTACATTACAGGGCTCCTTTGGTTTTTCCCAGTGAGGAGAAACCTGACTACTGCAGAGAGTACGGATAAGTGATGACAAGAAGACATTAAAGCTTCAGTGCGCTGTGGGAATATGAGAGAGCGCTGCCATTGGGAGGACGATGTTGCGACTCCTCAAAAGACTAAACAGGCTCGGCGTGGTGGCGCATGCCTGTAATCCCTGCACGCAAGAGGCTGAGGCAGGAGAATAATGAACTGGGGGGGGCAGCCTGGGCTACTGAGCAAGTTTAAGGCCACCCTGGAATATATAGTGAGACCCCCCCAACCACAAAACACTAAACAGCATTTCCATATGATTCAGCAATCGCGACTTTGGGTTTAGACACAAAAGAATCACACGCAGTGACCCGGCGGGATATTTGTATGCCCGTGTTGATAGCAGCATCATTCACAACAGCCAAGTAGAATCCTCCACGTGGCCGCCACCGACTGACGAACGGACAGACAGAACACAATCGGTCTGTCCATGCCGTGGAGTTTTCTTCTCTTTTTGGAGACAGCGACTCACTGGGTAGCTCAGGCTGGCCTCGAACTCTCGGCCGTCCTCAGCCTCCCGAGGGCTGGGGTTCCAGGCGTGCGCCACCACACCTGGCATTTTTTCAGATTTTTTTGTTTTGCGACAATGTCTCACGAAGTTGCCCAAAATGGCCTCAAACTCACGATACTCCTGCCTCATTCCCCCAAGTACAGGGGTTACAGACATGAGCCACTGTGCTCAGCTCACTTTTCCCCATTCTTTCGGAGGGGTGTGTGTGTGTGTGTGTGTGTGTGTGGAGAGGGACGGAGACAGAGAGAGGACTGAAACCAGGGCTTTCACACTGAGCTACATCCAAAACTTTTTTTATTTTTAATCTTTTATTTTCAGAGTCTCCCTTAGCCGTTAAGTTGCCCAGGCTGAGCTCAAACCTACGATCCTCCTGCCTCAGCCTCCTAGAATTTGGGGATTACAGGTGTGCAGCAACCATGGCCAGCTCACACACATCTTTTAGAGCTGGATGTTCTCAGGTAAAGCGGGCAGTCACAGTGGGAAACTGAAAAGGGACCTCGAGGGTGCGCGTCCTACTGCCCCGTCACAGGTCCGGTGCCCCTCCGTGACACTCATCCTACCTTCACCCTCGAAGCACCCACATGCAGGGCACAGCACCCCTTCTCCAGAACAGCCTCCAAAGGTGACAGCCAGGCCGCTGGATGAGCTCTTCCACGCCCCTTGGGTGGGACAGCTGAAGCCCTTTGATCAGCTCCCAGTGACCCCCACCGCGCACGGGAGCCCATGCCACCCGCAGTCCGAACCTGCCTCTTCACTGCCCTGCACAATAAACTGCCTTCTCTCTCCTCCCGCTACTGCTTCCTGCTTGCTTTGCGGGTGGCTACAGGGATCACCTGCACCAAATTCCTCCTCTCCGGCCTGAGTTCCGAGGAGCCCAGAGAAACGCAGACGGCACCCAGAGATAACCCATCCACTGCGCACGGAATGCCTGCTGTGCGTCAGGGCTGGGGATGCCACACAGAGAGACACGGGCCGGGGCCCTCAGAGGCCCCCGAGGTGGCTCTGCACTGGCAGGTGAGAGATGGGTATCAGGATGCTTGTTTCAGTCTGTGAATCGCAAACAAACCCCAGGGCTGGGTTCCGGGGAGCCACTGGGAAGAGAGAAAGAAACCTCCACCGCCCAGGGGTCCCCAAGAAGCCCTGTTTGCTGGCTGCCACCTTGATTTGTTATCCACCCACAGCCCTTGTCCCAAACTGACATGATTGTGTTCCTTCCTTTGTCTGTGGGGACTGATGTGTGTCTGCAACAGATACTCCAGGGCTGGGGGTGTGGCTCAAGGGCAGAGCACTTGCCTCGTGTGCTGGGATTCCCAGCACTGCAAAAAGCACAAAGTACTATAAACACTTAAGGAATCATAGCACTTGGGAGGCTGAGGCAGGAGAGTGAGTGCTGAGTTTGAGGCCAGCCTGGGCTACACAGTAAGACACTGTTCAGCACTCCCCCTAAAAGAGACAAACAATGGGACTGCCTACAGGAAGAAGCCTGGTTGAAGGGAGTCCCTCAAGCCAAAACATTTTCCAGTCTCACAGCTGGGGACAATTTCTTGGAGTCAGGTGACCACTCTCCTATCTACTCCTTCCATTAGAGAGGAATTTCCTGACAAAGTAAATCAGAGTTCAAACCTAAGCAGAAGGGCAGTCATTACACCTGTAAGCCCAGAACTTTGGGAGGTTGAAGCAGGAGGGTTGCCAGTTCTGAGTTCCACCTGAGCAAGTCAAGACTTTCTCTCAAAATAAAACGTAAAAAGGACTGGGGCTATAGCTCAGTGGGGAGGCCTGGATTCAATCCCCGGCACCATCAAAAAAAATGTTTAACGTTCAAACCCAATTGAACACTTTGCTGCTCTGGGACCCCGTCCAGGGCTCCCTAGGTGACAGCCAGTCCAGGGTGATGCTGACATCTCAAAAGCGGGGTCCCCAGAATAGAACCCCATCTCAGCCACCAAGACCTGAAAGCAGCTTGGCCCCACCACACCACAGGAGACTGGGGACACTCAGGCCGGCACCCCACTGGGCCCCAAAGCAGCACAGGAAGGGGGAAGCCCTCTCCTCTCTGCACCTGGGGACCCTGGGCACTTGCTCCTGATGGGCTGGGAGGCCAGGTGGTGGTGCTTCAGGGTGCGCAAGCCCTTCTATCCGCTCCGACACCTGCCCCAAAAGGGAATCTCAGGTTGTCTCCGGCTCCTCCCTGCCCCCCACCCCAGGCTTGCAGGGCTGTGTGAGGCCCCTGGGGTAGCCAGGACCAGAACCCTTCCTCTGCCTGCGCCCTTGGAGAGCCAGGTGGGTTGGACCTGGGAGGCCTGCAGCGCGGTGAGGCGGGGCCAGGTGTCCCGGGGCGGAGCGGCTCAGGAACCGCGGCCCGCCCTCCTGAGTCACCCTCTCCGCCTGCCCGCCCTGGAACTCTTCGGGCAACCCAGCCGCTCAGCGCCCAGGAACCCAGGAGTTGGGCCCAACGTCCACACCGCAGCAGTGAGTCAGGGGTCCCCACTGCGCGGAGGCTGGGTGGGGCTCTGGCTGGAGTCAGGGTGTGGCCCAGGTGGGCGACGGCTCAGGTGTGGCTGTCACATGGCCCCGGGTGGCCGCTGCAGACACACTGGAGCTGGGGGCAGGGACGGGGTGCGCAAACAGGCCGGCCCAGGGGCACCTGACCCGGGAGCCAGGCAGTCCCAGCACCAGGAGAGAGAGAGTCCGGACCTCCCACCCCGTCCTGGGGTGGCTGGCAACTGGGAAAACAGCACCAGCTCAGGGTGAGCACCTCAAACCCCAGAGCCCCAGCACTTGGGGTCCTTTCCAACCTGCCCAGCCGGAGGTTTTCCAACTTCGACACCCCAGACTCCCCAAATTCAGGTGGGGGCAGCTTGGCAAAGGGCCAGCCTGTCCGAGACCTGTGTCTCAGGAGATATCCTCCCGCTCCCCGTGCTGCAGTTGTCCACTGGAGCAGGAACTGGTCTGCCATGTTTGGGGAGGCAGCCTGAGGACAGCCTGAGGGAGAAGTGGGTGCAGCATGGATGAGGGGACCTGTGGTCCTAGGTTACAAGGACTCCCTCGCGTGGCCTTCCAGAACACCCTTCTCAAGTTCCTTCTGCAGACACCACACCTCAAGCTGTAATCCCAGCGCTCGGGAGGCCGAGGCAGGAGGACTGGCACGAGTTCAAGACCAGCCAGACTGCACAGTGTAACCCTGTCAAAAAAAAAAGAAAAAAGAAAAAAGGGATGAAAGAAAAGATGCCATAGCAGTGAGAGGAGCTCTTTCACCACAGACTAGAGTGGGTGCGGTCAAACAGACAGGGAGGGGCTGGGGATTTAGCCCAGTGGTGCCTGCCTTGCAAGCGCACGGTACTGAGTTTGATCCCCGATACAAAAAAGAAAAAAAAAACAGGGAGCGGGAGCTGAACAGTCCAGGCTCAAATGCCACCTGTAGTGAAAAAACCTAAGTGGTGAAGATCTGAAATAGCCCAGCTCCTAAAGTTAGGGTGAAATGTGGTATTGAGAGCATCAGGCAGCACACAATGAGCAGGGTCACCGTTGTCGTTTCCCCTCCCACCTTTGCAGGCCCTGTTCTGGGAGCCCTGCCACTAGCTCTGTCCAGACACGGGGCGGGGGGCACATCGCGTCGGTGGAACTTTAATGGCAGGTTTGGATGAGCACATCTGAGTCATGGAGACAGATAATGATAATCCCCCACATCCGCCTCTGATTGTGTGTGTGCGTGTGTGTGTGTGTAAAACACACCTTGTCCCCTGGGAGCCACGGGGCTGTGTGGGACTTGGGCTTTCTCTGTCCTCTTGCCTGTTGTGACTGCAGAGCTGGGACAGTGTGGGTGAGACCGGTCTGAAGAAGTTGGTCCCTGCCTGTCTGTGTAATGTTCTTGCGGCTGTCCCCAGACTACTGCTCTTTGTACTTTTTTCTTTTTGGAAAAGGGTGCTGGAGATTCAACCCAGAGCCTCCTGCTTGCTAGGCGAGAACTCTCCTACAGAGCCAAATCTCCAGTCCTTTTTAAGAGAGTCACAAATGGCCTTCAACTCGAGATCCTCCTGCCTCAGCCTCCTGAGTAGCTGAGATTGCAAGGGTGCACCACTGCACTCAGCCCCAGCTTATTGTTCTTAGGTTAAAGCAACTAAGTAGTGTCCCTTGAAAGTCAAAGGAACTGAGTAGTGGCCCTAGAAGGATTCATCGAGGCCCGCTGGGGTGGCTGGAACTCAAAGCAGATGCTACGACTCTCTGGTTCTGGTTCTTCCCTCTGCTTAGTGTTTGTGCTTTGTACCCTCACGTGTACCCTGACGTGCACCCCTGCTGTTCCATTTTGGTGGCTGTCTGATGTGTCCACTCCCTTGAGCTGCCCTGGCCTTTTTCTACCAGATTAGGACAAGGAGCCTGAGTTCACTCTACTTGGCTGTTGCATAGGACAGGGGTTATCTGTGAGCATGGGGGACAGTGGCACGTGGTGTCGGGGATGTTGGGGTCTGGGTACCCCTGCCCTGCAGACCCTCCATACCGAGGTGTGAGCCCCATTATGCAGAAGCAGGCTCAGCCTGGTGGGCGAGCACTGCGCCCTGTAAGGAGAGCCCCCACCCTACCCTGTCCGGACTCAGGAGTCACCCCTAGATCTCTGGGGAACACTGGGATGGATGAGGAAGGCACACAGTGGCACAGAAGTTGGCCAAGGTGTGGGGCAGGAGGCTGGGGTTTCCCCACTCTCTGGGAGATGGAAGGGAGGCCACAGAAAACTGGCCAGTGGCCCCAACCTGTGCCCAGTGCCCAGTGCAAATCTGCTTAAGAAACAAGGGCTGCAGGTGGGGAGCTGGGATGCTGGCAGGGTGGGCTGCCTGGGGCCCCCCACTCTTTCCTCCAGCCTGCCTCAGACAGTAACGTCCAGGATTGTGCCGCCCCCTTCCCCGTGTGACATGGGCCCGACTCGTCTTTGTCTGCAGTAATGACACCTTGGTCAAAAAGGAAACCAGGGACCGACCATGGGCTTCAGCCCAGCAGCTGGGCAGCCCCGCCCCATGCCAGCCGCCCACCCGGAGGTGTCACCCTGACAGGTCTCCCTTTCCAGATCCTGCACCTTTCACTTCCAACACTCCTCCGTCTCCCAGCCCAGGTCCCGAGTGGACCTCAGATTCCGGCCTCCAGAACCCTCCTTTGGAAACCCAGGTGTCCGGGTCACACACACACCCCAGGGCTGCTAACCTTCAGCGTGGCCACTCCCTAACCCCTGGGGCCCCAGAAACCAGAGCAGAGCCAGACTCCAGCTGGCTTTTCCAGTTCGAGGTTGGAGGTGGTGCCCAGAATGCCCCTGGAGGGGCTGGGGGCCCACGCCCCGGAAGTCCTGGGCCCTGGGCCACTCCCTGGTCCTGTGGCTGTGCAAGCCAGGACGGGAGTCAGGATACCTCGGAGCAGGTGTTTAGGGGATCCTGGCATCGGGGTGAGGAGAGGAAGCTGGGGAAGCGGGCCGCCAAATGGCAGGGGTTCAGGGCGCAGGAGAGGCAGGGTGGTCTGGAAAGGTGATCTGGGATGGGGCAGACAGGCAAAGCCCAAGCTAAGAAGGGAAGGGAGAGGAACAGTGCATGCATTCTGCCAAGAGAGGATCGGGAACCCCAGGGGGAGACACTGGCAGGGAGATTGCTCTGGACCTCTCCACACTGCTGTCTACTTCCTACAGGCACGATGATCCCGGTGGCCGAGTTCAAGCAATTCACGGAACAGCAGCCAGCGTTCAAGGTGCTCAAACCCTGGTGGGATGTCCTGGCTGAGTATCTCACGGTGGCTATGCTTATGATTGGGGTCTTCGGCTGCACCCTGCAGGTGAGGGGCGGGGCCCCCTGGGGAAGCCCGGAAGCCGTTCTGTCAAACCATCCCCAGCCCAGTTCGGACCCTTCGCCTCCCCCTACCCCACCGCCACAAGGGCAGCACCATCAGAGTTCTCCACACTGCTAGGCTATTTCCTACTTTTCTTCTACTTTTTTTTTTCTTTTCTTTTTCCCTGTTGGCAGGGCTGGGGATTGAACCCAGGGCCTGGTCTTTGTAATACTCCATCTAATCCCTGGAATCTAGAAAGGGTTCCGGTTACTGAGGTAGCACGGGGTGAGTGACTTTAACACCAGAAATGATCACGGTGCCCTGGACAGGCTGGGATCCCTCCGAGGCCTGACGGGAAAATCTTGCGTCCCCTGGCTTGGAGGTGGCATTCTGTCTTCTGATCCTCTTCCATGTTTGTCTGTCTGTTTTACACCGAACTGGGGATTGAACCCAGGGTTGCTCTACCACCGAGCTACATCCTACCTTTCTTCTTTTAATTTTTTTTTTTTTTACTTTGAGACAGAGTCTCACTTAAGTTACCCAGGCAGGCCTTGAACTTGTGATGCTCCTGCCTCTGTCTCCTAAGTAGCTGGGATTACAGGTGTGCCACCGTGATCGGCCTAAATAGCCCCTCTTTCTAAGGTCACAGTTCCAGAGGATTAGGGTCCATCCTGATGACCTTCTCTCGACCTGATTATTATTACTATTATTTTTGTGTGTGGGCACCAGGGTTGAACTCAGGACCTTGCACTTTCCAGGTGGCAGAACCACGGAGCTAAATCCCCAACCCTCGACTTAATTACTTTCTATAAAGACCCTATTTTCAAATAAAACCACTTCACCAAGGACTGGAAATTGAGATGTCAACATCTTTGCGGGATGGGGGTTGGGGGTTACACAACTCAACGCGAGTCCCTTTCTTCAGACCAAGGTTGACGGTGCAGTTTTTAGCAACTCCTCCAAAGTCATCCAGTCGGCAGCGGTCGGGATCGGGTCTCCCCGCTCGCCAGCCCCTCACTCTCTTCCGCCATCTCACCCTCACCAGGTGACGCAGGACAAGATCATCTGTCTGCCCAGTCGCGAGCCCTGGGAGAACGTCTCAGAGGCCCCGTGCCAGCAGCTGTTGCCTCGGGGGGTCTCCGAGCACATGGGGGGTCTCCGGGAGCTGAGCGGCCTCAAGAACAACTTGGACCTGCAGCAGTACAGCTTCATTAACCAGCTGTGCTACGAGACAGCCCTGCACTGGTACGCCAAGTACTTCCCCTACCTGGTTGTCATCCACACGCTTATCTTCATGGTCTGCACCAGCTTCTGGTTCAAGTTCCCCGGCACCAGCTCCAAGATCGAACACTTCATCTCCATCCTGGGCAAGTGTTTCGATTCGCCGTGGACCACCCGGGCCTTGTCGGAGGTCTCCGGGGAGAACCAGAAAGGCCCAGCCGCCGGACGGGCCACGGCGGTCGCAGTGGCTGCAGCGGGGACCGGGTCAGGGAAGGCAGGCGAGGGCGAGAAGGAGAAAGTGCTAGCAGAACCCGAGAAAGTGGTGACGGAGCCTCCAGCCGTCACCCTGCTGGACAAGAAGGAGGGTGAGCAGGCCAAAGCCCTGTTCGAGAAGGTCAAGAAGTTCCGCGTGCACGTGGAGGAGGGCGACATCCTCTACACCATGTACATCCGGCAGACGGTGCTCAAGGTGTGCAAGTTCCTGGCCATCTTGGTCTACAACCTGGTCTACGTGGAGAAGATCAGCTTCCTGGTGGCCTGCAGGGTGGAGACCTCAGAGGTCACCGGATATGCCAGTTTCTGCTGTAACCACACCAAGGCCCACCTCTTCTCCAAGCTGGCCTTCTGCTACATCTCCTTCGTGTGTGTCTACGGCATCACCTGCCTGTACACACTGTACTGGCTGTTCCACCGGCCTCTCAAGCAGTACTCCTTCCGACCGGTGCGCGAGGAGACAGGCATGAACGACATCCCCGACGTCAGGAACGACTTCGCCTTCATGCTGCACCTCATCGACGAGTACGACTCACTCTACTCCAAGCGCTTTGCCGTCTTCCTCTCCGAGGTCAGCGAGAGTCGCCTGAAGCAGCTCAACCTCAACCATGAGTGGACGCCGGAGAAACTGAGGCAGAAGCTGCAGCGCAACTCGCGGGGCCGGCTGGAGCTGGCTCTCTGCATGCTCCCCGGACTGCCCGACACTGTTTTTGAGCTCAGCGAGGTGGAGGCGCTTAGGCTGGAGGCCATATGTGACATCGCCTTTCCCCCGGGGCTGTCACAGCTCACAAACCTTCAGGAGCTCAGCTTGCTGCATTCGCCCGCCAGGCTGCCCTTCTCCTCCCAGATCTTCCTGCGGGACCGCCTGAAGGTGATCCGGGTCAAATGCGAGGAGCTCCGAGAGGTGCCCCTCTGGGTGTTTGGGCTGCGTGGCCTGGAGGAGCTGCACCTGGAAGGGCTTTTTCCTCCAGAGTTGGCTCGGGCGGCTTCCCTCGAGAGCCTCCGGGAGCTGAAGCAGCTCAAGGTGTTGTCCTTGCGCAGCAATGCCGGGAAGGTGCCAGCGAGTGTGACCGACGTGGCCGGGCACCTGCAGCGGCTCAGCCTGCACAATGACGGCGCGCGGCTGCTGGCCCTCAACAGCCTCAAGAAGCTGGCGGCGCTTCGGGAGCTGGAGCTGGTGGCCTGTGGGCTGGAGCGCATCCCGCACGCCATCTTCAGTCTAGGCGCGCTGCAGGAACTTGACCTCAAAGACAACCACCTGCGGTCCATCGAGGAGATCCTCAGCTTTCAGCACTGCCGGAAGCTGGTCACGCTCAGGCTGTGGCACAACCAGATCGCCTACGTCCCAGAGCACGTGCGGAAGCTCAGGGGCCTGGAGCAGCTCTACCTCAGCCACAACAAGCTGGAGACCCTGCCCAGCCAGCTCGGCCTGTGCTCCAGCCTCCGTCTGCTGGATGTATCCCACAACGGGCTACATTCTCTGCCGCCCGAGGTGGGCCTGCTCCAGAACCTGCAGCACCTGTCTCTCTCCTACAACACCCTCGAAGCCTTGCCGGATGAGCTGTTCTTCTGCCGTAAGCTGCGGACATTGCTTCTGGGCTTCAACCACCTGGGCCACCTCTCTCCCCACGTGGCAGCCCTCGGGGCCCTTAGCCGCCTGGAGCTCAAGGGTAACCGGTTAGAGGTGCTGCCGGAAGAACTGGGCAACTGCGCCGGACTGAAGAAGGCGGGGCTGGTGGTGGAGGACACCCTCTATGAGGGGCTGCCCCATGAGGTTCGCGAGAGGATGGAGAAGGAATGAGGGCAGTGTGGGGCAGGCTGTAGAAGACTTCAGATGCTTCCACGCCGGCCTTGTCTGCGGAGGGGCCCCGCCAGGAGAGGAGGGGCAGATGTGTCAGCTCTAGTGGGGTCCCGACAAGATCCTGGGACTGGTTTGTCTGAGGAGAGACAGGAAGTTGTGGATTTGGGGTGGAACCTATACGGAAATATGAACTCAAGTCATAGAACCCTCAGATCAAAACCACACCTGTGTCTTTGGCCGGCCGGCCCGCCCTCCCTCTGGACATTCCAGCTCCATTAGTGTCACGGATGGGCGTGGGACCACATCCCATTGGGATTTCCAGCCTGCTCCCCCACCAACAAAGCAGCTCAAAATCTGTGTTTCTCTCCCAAGGAGGGGACACAGATATAAAGGACCGGGTTTCTACACCCCCATCCTCACTCAGATGCTATTTTCTTATTTATAAGTTGCTTGCTGCAGACACATGTACTTATATTTGGCTGTGCACCAAAATCAACTGAGGAGCTAGGACAGAAAAAACATCCCAGGCCCCACCCCTAAAAGACGGACTCAAGAATTGTGGGCGGGGCCAGGAACCTGCTTGTAAATAAGCATGCTGGATAATTCTGATGCAGGTGGTCCTAGGACAATACGAAACGGATGACCTAAAGAGTATGGGTACTTTAACATCTAGAGCCCCTCTTAGGTCCTAGACCCTCTGATAATCTGATGAAAGCTGGGTGCCTCCCCGCTCAGCAAATGTAGTACACACACACACAACTCTGCCAACGACTTTCCGGCAGCCCACAAGGGCTATCCATGGACTTCCTAAGGTTTGCCGACTCCAGGTTAAGAACACTTGTCTTGGAGGCTACATTTTGCCGAGGACAAGCGGTGAAATTCATTGTCTTTTGGATGTCCCTTGTGTGAGGGACCATACAGCAGTAGGCGCTCAATAAATCATAATGATGAGAATTATAATCTGAGCTCTTCTGTGCATGCTTACCGTCTAAGCCTGAACTCCACAGTGAGACACTGTCTCAAAAACGAAACAAAACAAAATCTACATTCCACGAGCCGTGCTCACATTCTGGGGTCAGGAGAGCTGCAGATGCGGCGTCCTAAGGTTCCACGCAGGTCTGGCTGGACACACGGACCTTGAGCTTAGCTCTATCACCAAAGTCAGGGGTCCCGTCGCTGGATTCCCAGAGCTCTCCTTCCCCGCCAGGTTTCGGCCCGCTCAGCTCCTGGGACCGGAAGAAACAAAAAGGGGTTCCCACGGGTGCCCAATTATGGTGAGGAGGCGGCACCGCGCTGCCAGCACGAGGTCAGGCAGCAATTAAGTCTAACAGGGATTCTAATAAAGCAGCGTCTGGGGCGTGGAAGGCAGTTTCTTGAGGGTGCGGCATCCAGAGTGAAACCGACCAAGAAAAGCGACAGGAACCACGCGCTGTACCGCAGCGAGGGACTGATGCAGCGGAACAAGCGGCCGTGACGCGCTCGCGCAGAAGGAGGCACGCGCGTGTCGGCGTTTCTCCCCTCTGTACCCCTGCGCGCCACTTTCCCCACCCACCGCCGTCTAAAGCACTGTAGGTTTCCACGCAGCGCCTCCTGCAGCAGGGCTAGGGAACTCACGCATGCGCACCACGGGAGTAGTTGCGCGTTGCCCACCGCGAGCTCTAGGTGGCGTCATTCGTCGGGCTGGAACGAAGCACGCACGCGCGGAGATTCGCACGCGGGCCGGGCGGGCGTGCGTCGCGAGCAT